ATGCTTCGCCGGCTTTCATACCCTGTTTGAGTATGCAAAAATTCACTTGCAATCCCTACATGACACGGTTTCTGCATGAAGCTTACCCCTGCTCGAACAAAGCTGTCCTCTGGAACAAGGCATCCAGAAGGAACCCATCGGCTTAGGCTCTTGCTATCCCGTGCTTTGCTTCGGGTTGCCATGGTCCTCGTAGATTTCTGCGCATAACCCCAAACACTGAACAATTTTTTCGAAGAGGCAAGGAGCCCAAAAAGCACGAACCCCCTGAACCCTAGTAGGTGCCCCGTGGGTGCGGGTGCCTGACAAGAGGCATGTTCAGCACCTTTGTCCACGGCGCAGAGACCCGGGTGCCACGCGACTCGGGCTGCCAGCAGATCGGTCATAGACACCCCAAACTTACAATCCCAACACCACCAATATTCCGAGTTGCTAGGGACCCTACACCGGTATCCCGAACTCCAATGATTGGCAACAACGTTCCTGAAGGGATTTTGCAGCCTTTGGGAAGTGTTTGGGCGCGTTTGCGCGAAAGTTCTCGGGGTTTTGGGGGGCAGACCACCCTGTGCCCTAAGCCTTGAAACCCTTTGGTACTGTCGGTGATGTGGATCCTCCACTGCCTTAAAGAACCCTAAACTAAGGGAATTGTGGCATATTCCTTGTGTCGGGTAATGCAGATTTATATCATCAACCGTATTAGTATGGTTTTTTCCCTGCATCTGAAGCATAGACTTAGATTGGACGAAGCTTTGCAGTTTGTGAGGGGGTATTAGTATGTGCTGGTATATCCGGGGTTTGTGAGTGCCTCAGCATTGCTGACCAGGCAGCGAAAAGCAGTGCAAGATCGTCCACTACGACTTCGATGCTGTTTGTCGCTGGGGAGGGTGCGGAGCTTAGGGTTCAGGAATTGGGTTTAGCGTTGAGAGGGCAGGGCTAAGATTTGCAAAGGCCTTAGGTGCCACAGGCGACAGTCTTGTAAATTGGCGAGTTCACATTGCTCCAGCGTATTCCACACCCTGATAGAGTTGTAGTATACATACAAACTTAAAGACCTTGTGCATTTTGGGCTTTTCTGCGAACTCAAGCCCGACTCCCTAAACCCTCAACCCCTAAACCCAAACCCTTAAACCCTAAACCCCTAATTCCTAACCTCCTAAAGCCCGAAGCCTTAAACCGTTTATATCGTACTGTAAAGGCTTCCCCGAAACCCTAAACCTTTTATGTGGTACCACATATGCCCTGAGTCTTGAGGCTGCTGGGCATCTTCACACGCGCCAGCATCTGCCGGATTTCTTGGTCCATGACCACCTGCGTCTGGGCTCTGGTTAAGGAACTTACATCAAGTTACCATCGTAAGGAAACCCTATTCAGGGTTTAAGACTTAGGGGTTTAGGGTTCAGGGTGTAGGGCATCAGGTTTGGTGGTTTAGGGTCTAGTGTTTGGGGTTTAGACTGCCCAATTACATTATTCCGTACTCTAGATCCCTATGATTTGTTGTAAACCCTTGTTGTTTACTATCTAGATGCAGATTTGTCCTATAGATCCCTAGCATGGTATTTTGAACTAGATTCCTTAACCCTCAACCCTGTAGCAACCCTTGCAAGTTAGCAATTCTTGTAGAACTCCTCTAAAAACCCTTTAACAAGAGTCTTAGTAGCTGAGTGGATACACCTTACACTTTTTGGGATAATATGACCCACTATAAAACTAAATGTGTACACTTTTGTGGCTTATGAACTCAGCAACTAAGTAGTCGGGCCCTTACGAAGAACTCAGGCTTGGGGCTCACGCTGACCCTGGCCATGACGACAGGAGGGCATCTCGGGATGAAAAAGTGCGGCCTCAAGAGTTTGGCAAGGTTCTCTATAGTCTCCTTAGGAATTATTTTTTATTCCGGTTCATATGAAACCCAAGAGAATATTTAAAAATATATGTTTATTATGGTTCTAAGGGGGGTATAGTTCCGTTGAGGGTTCTAGAAGAGTACGATAGGTTTGGGGTTTGGGGGTAGGGTAGGGTTTTGGATCTGCGGTGTAATGCGGCATATTTACCTTCTGGGGTTTCGGGTTTCCGAATTCGGGGTTCGGAGTATAATCCAGTGTTGTTTTTTTGTGTTCTGTGTTTGTTTCGGGGGCTCATATTTTGGGTAAAGGGTGCCGGGTTTCGGCTCGAAAGGGATTGGGAGTATGTTGGCACACGGTGGCTGTACGGCCCGGTTTAGGAAAGACGCCTTCCACAGTTTGCGAAAAGCCCTTCCCTAAGCCTCTACACCTGAGCCCCGAAATCTTAACAAAGTAGCATGACGACACGAGCACCATGCGCAACAACAACAACAACAACAAGAACAAGGACGACGCCCATCAACAGTCCAGCCTCACCATCGACACCTTGATTACCACGGTCGCAAGCTTTGCTGCTGCCGTTGAGTAGTAATTAATTAAACTATGTAACGTACTTCTCCAGTACCCGAATAGCTGGATGCCTAACCTGCTTCAAGTCTCGCATTGCTTTCAAGGCTTGTGGCCTGGGCCAACGACGAGCGAAAGCTGCTTTGTCCTTGTTTCGGTATGGTGGTCTTGGCATGGAGACCTGCGTCGTCCCAGACCCGCGCCCCGAACCCTATACTATAGGAGCCTAGATAAGTTTACCTATACTATCTTGGGGTTCCTTATTATTATGGTGTAATATACCCCAAGGCCCTACTCAAATCATTAATAAAGGCCCCTACAGTATCCAGATCGGTGAGCCACCGCCCCTCACAACAAGCCGCGATCTCCCTAACCCAAACCATATCACTCACTTGTGTCATAGGAGGCCAAAAGGGGTTTTAGCCTATGGGGGTTTAGTAGGGATTTGGGTTCCCATTATAGGTTCATATTAAGGAATCCCCACCCCAAGAATCTTAACTCCCCCTTTTGGCCTCCCATCAGCTTTGGGTAGATGCAGGCCAGAGCGGTTACCCCTTGCAGCTCAACGAAACCACATGAAGGAGCCATAAAGGCACTTTAGCATACACCCGTAAATCCTCCAGAAACCACGAACACTGATGGAACCCTTAAAGGAATCCTCAAGCCTTATCGTACCTTGGATAAAGTGACCCGCATAGAACCGATCACCCCTTAATGGACCCCACAAACACGCTGTAGAGTATCTCGCAAAAGAAGACCTGTAAAGGATGGACACCGCAGCGATGGAAGCGTTGCAGCAACGGATTTTGCTCATCGAGACTCGGCGCAAGGTCATGTTCTCTACGGACTTTGTTTTAGCGCTTCATAAGACTTTGTATAGGGAATTAGTATAAGATGGCGCTCTATCCGTTTCCAAGGTTATGAAGGTGTGTGAAATTGCGCGTGCTCGAGTCTGGCTTTGGGACTTGGGTTCTGGGCTCGGGGCTTACGGGTTAGGTGTGAATGCCGAGGGTGCATGATATGAGCTGAGAGCTTCCTCATAGTGGTTCCTTTTTGGGATTACTTAATAGGATTCTATATATGAACCACAAAAAGGAACTACTTTGGAGCCCATGGGTAGAGTACCTCCTTTCATATTTGTTATACGTACCTTTATTAATTGGGGTTATAAGTACTTACAAGTATAGTTACCTTAATTATAACCCTAGTTGCTAAGTCCCATGATCCTTCAAGTACCTCCTTTCATTGATGTCAGCTCTACAGCGAGAGATCGGCCTGGCATGCAGGGCTGTAGGACACGACAGACGTGCAATGAGGCGCCAACCCAAACACCCTACACCCCTAAACCCTAAAACAAAATCCTAAACCCTAAACCCAAACGGAATGCTAAACCCTAAACCCAAACCCCTAAACCCCAGAACCCTAAAACCTAAAGGCCCTATCCAACCGCCTAAGCCAGTAAACGAAGCCGTAAGCCTTAAACGCCAACTGCAAAGCCCAACCGATGTTGCCTCAACTCGAAGTTCCCCCCCCGCGAAGACCTCAAACAAGGAACCCTACGTGGACACCAAAATGGGTTGTGCGAGCACTTGTTCATTCTTTAATGAACCTGTTCCTTGAAGGAACCATGATGGCGCAAGGTCAACTTTGAATTATTAGGACCCCTATGATTATAATAAGAACCTGTAAGTAGTTTAAGGTGGCTTTCGGCCCATAGTTTAGGCACAGACGAAGCCACGCGAGGTGACCTTTATCCTAGGCTTCTTCGTGCAACTGTGCCCGGGCCGACTTTGCATTTCGGGGGCCAGAGGGGTCTAGTCTAGGGTTTTTGGGGCCCAGAGTTACGGCGTTTTAGGGTGCTTTAAGTCCTGGTTTGGATATTGTTGGGGCTTCTGTTCTAGCTATCAATTAAGGCTCCTTTTGTGGCACGGTTGAGCACTTCACTATTCAGGATCTGACTTCGGTTTTGGCGGTGGAGAATTTTTCATGTGTTAATGTTCTAGAACCGTGCAGAAACCCTAATGTTGAAGGGTTGGGTCAGCAGGCTGCATGCCAGAAGCAGAATCAAGGGCCATGATCAAGCAAACGAATTGAGGCACGTATTTTTCGGCACATGTGAAGGTCTGCTCCGGCTTCTCTTTCTAGTGAGTGACGCTTGTGGGTTAATGCCTTGCTCTGCAAATGCCTGTGCTATCCCACGCATGCCACTCCATGAGAGCCTGTGCTTCAGTCACATGCGCATGCCAGCAACGTGAGCTTCAACACTCCTCCTTGCCCGTCAAGGGACTTGAGAGGGCACATAACTCACCTTTGCAGTTGCTGCATGCAAATGATCATCGGTCCCTTAAGGACTTACTTTGGTTTTCTCTACAGCATTGACAGAACCTAATTGGCCGGGCTCGTGTATTTCGCAAGCCCCGGCAGTTCTCATAAGTGTGGAATGTATCTCCACTCGCACTCACATAGAGCGGATAGTTCCAGTTGATAGGATCCGGAACTGGCGTTGGAACAGCACGATCCTGGTAGCAGATGAGAGGGCTGCTATCAAGCTGGGTCGCTGCATCGCACGTAGTTGGGGTCCTAGCAGCCCTTGAGCTAGTCGCCGTCGAGGTCCTCGGGATAGGAGATCTCGAGGAAGTAGGCCTACGTGTAGTAGAGCTCGCCGGTGGGGACGCCGAAGTTGGTGATGCCAACGGCGTCTCCGGTAGCGGTGTGGGTGGCACTTGCCTCTCAGCCATTTGGAGCTCAATCTCGCGCTGGATTGTCTCCTGTAGGTTCCGCAACCGTCGCGCTCCTCTCGAAGGTCTCACTTCCCCACAGCAGTGATCAACACACCACCATAAGAACTCCCAAGCCGCCACAACAGCTATCCCCAAGATAATCACCATCACGTAGATGTCCAAGGAGGCTGTTAATGCCAGGGGTTCCTCCTCCTGTGCCCGAGAAGTCTGAATCATCATGCACATCACCATCATCTTGACCATAGCTTTCTCGGCCCACTGATGCTTTCCTTGAACGTATTCGACAGACACTTGTCCCAGCTCCACCTGCTCATGGATGTAGGAGGCCCGAACTCGTAAATGGCGGGTACGCCAAGATGCCGACGACGTCGGCTTGGCGATTGTCACGGCCGCCTGGTTGTCGACATGGACCGTGATGTGATTCGTCTCAAACATCTCGTTGATCACCGAGACGATACTCTTGCCCATGATCAGCCCTTCGGTGGCTGCAAGTAACTCGCATTCTGCCGTGCTCAGGCAGACGAACGGCTGGCGTGCCGAACGCCAGCAAATTGGTGCTCCCAACCACACGGCCACCAGGCCAGAGTGGCTCTTTGCACCCTCTGGGGCAAAGGAGCTGTCCGTGTAAACCGAAAAGCCTTCCCGGACCGGTCGCAAGGCCAGGGCAAGGTTCTTGGTGCGCTGTAAGTAAGAGCGCAATCTCCGTGCTATTTCAAGACAGCGCGGAGCGGCCCGCGTCAACAGAGAGCCCATGGCACACACAACGTAGGAGATGTCAGGTCGACTCCGTTGGGCAATCCAGAGGAGTTCTCCACAGGCCTTTTGGGCCCGTTTAATTTCATCCTCTGTTCCAGCCGACTCTCCATCATAAGCTTCGAACGTCACCAGCTCCTTCGGTGCCTGGATCGGAGACTGCTCAGTCTCCGGTGTGGCATACTGCCGGAGGATCTCCTCAATATACGGCCTCTGGTGGATGTAGATCGCGCTGTAGTCTTCACTGACCGCGATTTCACAACCAAGGAACCTGATTTCATGATCAACATCCAACAGGTCAAGCTCGGAAGCCTTCCACACACCCCTGATCGAGGACGAAACGGCTTGCACCAACCAAAGTGGGCCACATAGTAGGATATCGTCCACATACAGCAGAATGAGCCCAGCTGGCTCCTGATCGGTCGGTCCATCGACTTCATAAAGTAGCCATAGGTTGGGCTCTGCAACTCCCTTTTTCATGGTCCATCTTTTTTCCAGGTGGCTGATCGTCATCTTGGTAATCTCGCCATCTCTGAAAGCCGCCCATAACTTAGGACTCTGACGGAGTCCGTACATTCCATGCGTGAGCTGCCACCTTTCGTCTTCGGTGGCCAAACCCAGCTGGATCAAGGCCGCTGGTGGTCTGATGATATACACCACTTGACCAGGTCCTGTTGGCAGCGGAGTCAGCATGAACGCTCCGGTGACATCGGTGATTCCCGATCGCCACTGACGATGCGCGGTGTAGGTGAGCGCGCATCGCAAACTCTCCGCGGCAGCGCCCCCTGCAAACAATTCCTCCTGGTCCGCGTCGGCGTAATTGCCGCAGCAAACTATTCTGGCCTTTCTTTTGCAGTAAGCTGCCTCATCTGCTTCCGAAACCGCAGAAGCCGCAAGATCACCAGCCGGAGGCTTCACGGTGTACACCAGCTTCGACGGGAGCTCCTGCACAGTGGTTGTCTCCTTGAGCTTGGCAACATCCCTTGTAGTGATTCTCTTGAACCCACGCTCAACAACTCCAAGCTCCTTAACGATTGAGGGCTGCCATTTGGTGATCACCGCCTTGGCTTCCTTGAAGCTCACATTGTAGGTGTGTCTCAGAGGGGTCTTGGTTTCAACCGCATGGGTGATGATGTCCTCGATGCCGGTCACATACTCAGGCTCCAGTTTGTTGAGTTTAGGGATATCATACAACCCCCTCGAAGCCCAGTATTCTACATTCTCCTCCAGATCACAACGGAGGCCAGCATTGCCCTCCTCCTCGACCAACAAGTTTGAGGCCCGTGTAAGCCCCCCAAGCTCCACTCCAGGATCATCAGAAGCACATACTTTACAAAGATGCACTGGCTCCGGCTCATTACTGCCTGCAGGTAAACCCTCAACTGGGTCCTCCACATACATAGCCCATTCCCACAAGCATGCTTCACAATCTCCAGCTGGTACAACATCCACATCACCGTCTTCACCATAAGCTCCACTCGATGACGAATCCAGTGGGAAGGAGGTCGCTCTTAACACTGGTTTGGTTTCCAGTGTCCCAGCCGCGTCAAAAGCCTCACCCTCAACCGTTGCCAAAGGGAAGTTCGCCTTCTTCAACTAGGTCTGATCCACCATATTCAACTTGTAGGCGCCCTGAGGAGTGTAGGCTGTAAGGAACCACTTGGGTCGTGGCTCATTCACATAAGCATGTGGAACGCGCGGATCAAACACCGCAGGCTTCTTTTTGACGTTCACCAAACATCCCTCAACAAGCTCGCCATCGAGCTCCTCAAAATCATAGTCCTTGGCCTCTGAGCCGCCAACAACCTGACGTTCATAGCCACAGTTTTGCACCCACAATCCTTCAGCCGTTTCGGTCTTGAGCTCAATAACATAGTTGTAGGTGCCCTTCTCGTTGTGGCTGTCTTTGTGCTTTGGTACCTCCTGAGCCGACTGCACCACCAACGTAGTCCATGAAAACTCCATGTCCGGCCAGTTCTTCTTGATCTTCTTCATCAAGTAGTTGTTGAAGTAACGAGCTGTCCACGGAAGGTCACGACCATAACGAGTGATACCAAAGGCACCGCCATGCACGTAGGCGCCCATCACAAGGCCAGCTCCTTCTGGCGCTCGAGGAACACGCAAGTTACCGCAGGTTCCCGCAAACAGACCAAGTAGGCGCGCTCCATGGGATTCCCCATAATGATCACCTTCACATAGCTGTTTTGCGACGGACTCCACGTACTTGATCTCTTCTGCTCGTAGGTACTTCACCTGTGGATCCTCCTCCTCAACATACGCGTGAACTTCAGACAAATCACCGGGAATCCACTCGTAGTCCTCAAAGCCGCCATCAAGCTTGGCGACCATAGGTCCTTTTGATCTCATCCTCTTAGGCGGTGGGTCGCTGGGTGGTGGTAAAGGTGGTTCAGCCTCCGGCGGGTCCTCGTTCGGTTCGGGCTCCACAATCACGGATGCAACTTCATCCAATGGGGGTGGGTCACGAGTCACTCGTACATGAGTCGTCTGAATGAAGGTTCCCGTCTCCTTCAGGATGACATGTCCTCCACGGATGTCAGTAGATGGCCCCACATAACGGCCCCGTGTCCAATGAGGGCCAAAGTCCTCCACCGCCCCAGTCTTGTAGGGCTTGGTCTTCACATAGACCTTGGTCCCGTACGCGACAGGCATCATGGGGACGGTGCCAAGCTGATCACTTCTTTGCTGGGCCGCCGCATACTGCACCGCTGTAGGCCAGTTGTCTTTGCCGACCTCGGCAACATCAAGTAACACCCTGGCTCGCCTTTTCAAAAACCTCACACCCGACTCCGCAACACCATTGGCCGCTGAATCCGAACCCGATGTAGTCGTAGCCCACATACCTTGGCTCAGCGCCCACTTTCTCACCAAGTTTCCCCGGAACTCACCGCCGCGGTCTGAATGGAGCCGAGTGATGGGGAAGCCGAGGGCCTTGATGTCCGTCACGATGCGCTGCACTGCCGGGAGCATTGTGGCTGCCTTCTTGTTGTTCACAGGAACCGCAAAGTAGAGGGTGGTTGTTGCGATAGGTTCCTTAAAGGTGGTCTTTAGATCCGCCCACTTCTTTTCTTCATCCTCCACCTCGGCCGCAATTGCCCCCGCACCTTCACCCAGATCGCCATGGTCTCCTTCATCATCATCAAGGATCAACTCCTCTTCGGCCTCCTCCTCAAACGGGGGAATAGGATGGCCACGAACTTCAGCATGCCCATGAGCGCCTTCAACTTTGGGTATCCTGAGCGCGCCGATGACAAAGTACTTGAAGAACTTGCCGTCAGGGGAGCGCCCATAGCCCTTTAGTGGCCCGACGACATCAACACTCAAGCAGTAGGCCATAGGATGCATCGTGGACCGGTGCTGGTGCCCTGTAGCGCTGTTTCTCACGCAAACTGAGCAGTCTCTCCGGAAGGGCTGGTGGTTTTGGGCTACATGTAGCCTCCAAGCTGCATCGCTGCTCAACTTGGCCAGCCTCAGCTGGCGACCTCCATCAAAGCCGCCCGATGAAACCCCGACGAGATTCATCTCGTCCATATACTCCAAAGCGTCCTTACAGCACGTCCACGGGGGCCAACATGCACCCTGTTGTTGCTGCAAGGGGTCCTTCCAACGTACAGCACGGTCTAAATCTTCAACATGAAGCCTGACCATGTCACCACGAAGGTTCAAGAAATGCACCTTGCTTCTGTGAGGTCCGGCGACGCACTGATCCAAGTGAGTGGGAAGGGCATCTCGTGCAATAATGGTCCCGATCTTGCCATTCAACACCGCCCACTGGATCACCTTCCAAACATCAGTGAACTCATTCTCAATCCACAACACGTTCATGTTGACGTAGATCATATCCCCGATGTAGGACAAGTGCTTCATGCTATCTCGATGTCGCTCAACTGCAGGTGGGTCCCATCTCAAAACCCAAGCATCTGCCCTCAACAACCTTTTCCGGCACCTTCTGTTCACCCGGAGCTGCTTCATAAGTTCCCAAATGCCAACCCTAGGAACTGAAGTAACCATCTGGTCCTTCAACTCATCCTTGAAGTCCAGGAAGAAAGCCTTGTCAATCGCAGACAACGCAGCCTCACGGCTGCCTCCCTTGACATACTCACACATGTCACTCCACCAGCTGGCCTTCAAACGGGTGAGGACTTTGGCCGACAACTGAGTGGTGTCATCAAGCTGGGAAACCTGCTGCTCCTCAAGTTGCTGGATGAGCTTGTTAGCGACCTTCTCGCTGACCTCGGGACACCCATTTTTCACATCCAGAGGTAAAACATCACCTTGAGGACCAATCAACTCACAAGCCTCCGAAGTCCAAGACAGCTTGTAACCCAGCGTCGTTATCACCTTACCCAGTGGCACAATCACCTGAGCCAGTTGGTCCCCTGTGAGGAGGGAACCTGAAGTCGTTTGGCGCATATCCGCCGTAGAGTCACCCGCCAACTGCACCGTGACACCGCGAGCATCATTCCACTCCTCCTGGGTACGTGGGGTCCTGAGCACATGGGTGGATCCCGAATCCAAAAGTGCCTTGCGTGACCTTGGTGTCCACCGAAAACCGCTGGAACCCCATTCTCGGATTCGTTCTGCAACAGACTTAAACAGTGGCATCTCCTGAACATCAGACAACATCTTGAGGACCTTCGTCTGGATCACACCATCATCCTCAAAATTAACTTTCCGTTGGTGGGCATCGGGGGAGGAAGCCGTAGGCGAAGTGGAACCGGTCTCACCGGCACCCGTGGTAGTAGATCTCGTTGCCGCCTTGGCCAGCGCGCCACCCGGAGCTCGACACTCCTTCACTTTGTGCGCCGTTGACCCGCAAGCCAAACATTTCTTCGACCTCGCTCCCTTTTCCAACAAACTCCAGGTGTGAGGGTATCTGCAATTGTTGCCTCGCCGGCATCCTTTTTCCCCTTGAAAGAAACGGCAAAGCCCATTGCTTGGCCTCGGAGGTGTCTGAGCATTCGGAGACGTTGGAGTCGAGGGAGGCTGCATCGCTTGATCCGAAGTTCCCAAAGCCCTCAAAGCTGCTGGCCCTCCGGTACTGGGAAGGGCTGCTCCAAGCCTCGCTTGCTGCTCCATTTCAGCCTGGAGATGCTGAAGAAACGTCGTCACTGATTGGGAGCTTGGGCAAACATCCACCTGAAGCGTACTCCGGATCAAACTCACTCTGAAGCTGAGCTCGCTATTGGCCTTCACAACCTTTGTCGTGATGCGGTCCAAGCCTTGGATCAACACCGAGGCGTCCGGCTCCGCAATGCCAATCGAAGCCGCCCGCCGCCTCCACAGCGTCCATTTTCTCAACGCCTCCACCGCCTGCAAGGCGGTATCGCACTCATCTGGTCTTTCAAGGCGCTGCAACACAAGCGCCTTCTCCTGTAAGTTCCCTGGTTGATACACAGCATAAAGCTTGCACAGCAAAGCTAGCGAGGTTACACTTCCCATTGCAATAACTTCTTCACGTACTGCTTGGGGTACTGCCGAAAGCATCATGGCAGTGGCGCGTCGTTCGACGCGGGCCCATTCTGGACGGCCCAATGCCTGCGAGGAGATTGGTTTCAACTGCAATCTCTCTAGTGGGGAAGCGCCGCTATACTTGGCGTACCAGTTCAGGGCATCTTGGAGCGTTCCCTCCCACCAGGCATAGCTCGTGTCAGACAGGTCCTGCATTATCGGCTGAATATGCGTCAGCCAATTCAGTAAGTCAATCGAGCCGGTAGTGGGAGCATATTCTGGTAACAGAGGAAGATCAGTGATGCCAGGTTTGACGGTTTCGGGACGATCCGCCTTGAGACCTTGCGACTGCTGTTGTTGAAGCAGGGCCTCGATCCCTCTCGCTAAGGTTGCTAGTAGGGTTCCTTCTGGGCTGGTAGTAGATCCCGTAGTCGCTGTAGCGCCCGCTCCCAACGGTCCCAACATTGAACCCACTGAAGCCTGAGCCTGTCGAACTTCTGGAGATACAGAGCTTCCACACTGACGCCCATCATCCCCGGGACGATCCGAACGACCTGTGCCACCCCTACCAAAGAGGCCTTGGAAGAAAGCTCGTGGACCAGGAGATTGTGACCTCGGACGCAAGCTAGGTAGCTGTACTGTAGGACCAGAAGGGGTTTGACTCGCGGTAACTCCTGAAACTCCAGCACCATCATAATTCATCTGCTGCCCTAGATGGCCTCCTCGAGGATCCCCGCCAGGTACAAAAGCACCCGATGCTCGAGCAGCGTCTTCACGAAGAGGCACGGGCGCTGGAACAGGTACTTGATCTCTCATTGCTTCCGCGACCAGGGGGGTTTGACTCGAGGTAACTCCTGTGAAAACTCCAGAACCAAACCCAACACCGCTGTTCAGTCCCGGTGGAGGCTGCATTTCCTGAGGACAACCATGCTCAAGAGCCATTCTCATCTCCTGCACATCCAGCTGTCGCCGCAGACCTTGCTCTTCTCGCATAGCTTCATCAGTCCGCCTCTTTTCCGCACGAAGCTGTTCGTGGAGTTCTCCCATCGCCGATTCCAGCTGGCGTGCCACCTCGGCTTGCACTAGTTCCGGGGAGATCCCGGCTGAGCCGCTCAACGAAGGAGGCCGGTGCTCGGCCACAGCTGCCATAGGTCCAGCCGTCATTGTCCCGGTCATCAATGGGACACTTGTCCCCTCTGGAACAGCTCCCGGTCCACCATAAGCTTGAAACACAGCTCCTTGACTGGCCCGAGAGGTCACCTCCACCGTCTTCTGCAGGTAATCCCCAATCTTCGACAACCATGCTGTCGCTCTCGCTGGGGTAGACGACTGACCTGACATCGGTGATTGTCCTGGCAACGGGGACGGCATAAACCTTGGAAAAAGAAGGACGTCGTTCATCGTCTCTCTATCGCGCCCAAGTCCGGAAACGCTCGCCGACGAAGGGACAAATCCGGTTTCTTCCCTCGTCCCAGAGGGTTCATACATCACTGTTCCACCGCTCGGAGGAATCTGACGTGACACTTGATCACGGTCACCTTGATCCGCTGTTACACTCTGCGCAGTCGGAGGAAGATCTTGCCGCAAACCACCATCCACACCGGTAGCTGCAGTCACTCCATTCGTCAGGTACGTAGGCGTCTGCTGCCCAATCCCATATCGAAGATCACGCAGTGGGTTGGGGGGGTGGTTGGCCATAGTCCGGACCTCTGGTCTCGCCCTCCATGAGAGGCGTAGTACTTGGGCTCATACCCTGTTGAAGGGTTGGGTCAGCAGGCTGCATGCCAGAAGCAGAATCAAGGGCCATGATCAAGCAAACGAATTGAGGCACGTATTTTTCGGCACATGCGAAGGTCTGCTCCGGCTTCTCTTTCTAGTGAGTGAGGCTTGTGGGTTAATGCATTGCTCTGCAAATGCCTGTGCTATCCCACTCATGCCACTCCATGAGAGCCTGTGCTTCAGTCACATGCGCATGCCAGCAACGTGAGCTTCAACACCTAAACCCTAAACCCTTAACCGTGGCAAACAAGTATAGGTTTTGGTGCGTCTTTCTGGAATGCCCCAGGAATATCTCCCGCTGGTGGAACCACAGGCAGCAGAAGTTTCGGGGGAGTGTACATTCGAGGGTTTAGGGTTTACCTATAGTCACCATTGTTAGTAGTTCTTTTTTTGGTTAACCAGTTTTATGGTTAGGATCCGATAATGGGGTTTGTAGTTAACCAAAAGAAGGAACTACAATGGAGTCTATAGGTAGAGGAGGCTTTAGGTGGCCTCAACAGGCCCCCAGGGGCATCCCAGAACTTTATCTAAATGGGAGTTTCCGAAAATTAGGATACCTTATTTTGGGGTCCTTATGATAAGGATCCTAGGTGACTGAATTTATCACTATTTTTCTCTAGGGTTCCTCATATATACCCCAAATCCTACAAGGGCCTACATTAAAGACTTCCCGCTTACTATCTAGGGTACTAGACTAGGGTCCCCTGTTTTCGGAAACCCCATCTAAATCCTAGATTAACTGCGATAAAGTTGAAAACACAGTTACGGAAGGGAATGCTACAAGGCTACATACTGTAGCCTTATTCGTCCTTTTGCCAGGTGTTTGTAACATCTTGGGTTGATGACAAAAACCCAAACTGATCCTAAACACTGTCAGTATATGGGTAGTTCTCTAAATGAGACCCCTTTTCGTGGCCCCAAAATAGTACTGCACCCGACAAGTGACCCCTAGTCTAAGGAACTACCCATGTAGATGTCTTCCTCAGACATGGGGTGCTGAAGTGTCGGACTTTGTTTGTGAAGACACCTTTGCTGACCCAGAAGCCGCTATGGCCTTGGGTGGTTCAGGGGTTGAGGGTGGCTAGGGGTTGAGGGGTTTAGGAGCTTTGGGTTTAGGGGTTTAGGGTCTAAGTATAGCAGCTTAGGGTTTCGAGGCTAGGGCAGAGGGTTTATATTGGATATCGGTTTCTTCAAGTGATCTGACAGTATCTGTTGCTTCTTGCAGAGTTCCATTTATCTTGATCCCAGAAACCCATCAGGCACCACACAAGTTAACCCACTCTGTACTGTAAACAAAATCAAACCTTGAATTCAACAAACAGCTGAAGCCCTAAAGCCTCGAAAGGAAAACAAGTTCTGAAGTCTATCTTAACCCACAGACGCTGCACTTACCAGGGAGTTCCTCCGGACGCTGCATGGCACAGCGCCCTGGCATTCTAGGTGAGCTTCGGGTTTAGGGTTAGGGTGAAAGGTTAAGTGGTTAAGTTTTATTTCAGGTTATTGTGTTAATACGGCTTTGGAGTTATGGGTTAGAAGCTGCCCCCACCCTGTAATAGCGACTATAAGGATGATATTAGGGCCCCCTTATATTCCGATTATACCACTATTACAGGGTGGGGGCCCCTTCTAAGTTATGGGTGTAGGAGTCGGGATGATGGGCTGATTTGTAAAGGTCGGCTGGAAGTAGGTGGGGGAACCTTGAACCAGAATCCATATACAAGGGATCCGTGATCCCGCTTCTCTTCATCCGACGTCGGTTTCAGGCTTAGGCTTTGGTGTATTTTGGGCTCTGGGGGTTTGGGTCTTGCATGTATAGGGTCCATGAGTGTTCAGGGCTGTTGGGAGCAGTCGTGGAAGTTTTCGTCCCAGTATCTCCAACTACCACAGCGATCACCAAAACTGCTCCCCCAAGGAGGAGGCGGGGGGTGGAGGAGGAGGAGGAGGCTTGCTTGTCATGATGACAGCAGTCACCAGGATGATCGGGTGGTGGCAGTAGTGAGACTGACGGCTACTTACTGTTATTGGCTATTGGTGTTGTTCAAGGCCTGCGGGGTTCAAGGTATTAAGGGTTAGGCCTTAGTGGGTTTGTAAAGGTAACTAGCTTTCATGGAGTGGGCCCGAAGGATTCAGTGCTTTTTCCCGATACTTAACAAAGATCATAAACCACAAACATCCGAAACCTATAGGGCCATTGTAGAGTCTGAGGTCTTGGATGTGCTGCTGCTGATGGCCAGCTCGGGGGCATCTCAGGCAGTCCCCCCCCCGGTTGCAAGCCGTGCAGACTTTGGCTTTCTTGCTATTTCAGGCGCTTTAGCTACAAGTCTCGAAAGGGTTTCGGGAGTATAATGCTATACATAACAACTCCACTATAGGGCGAATATACTGACGAGCCCCCTGATGAATAGCCAAGTTCCGTACATGATTGTGCAGGTCAGCCGGTGAATTCGTGGATCTCCCATACCTAAGCCCTAAACCCTCCAGAGACAGAAGAAGGAGTCGGTTTGGGGTAGCAAGGCAACTCCACACTTAAGACATGGAAGTCTGAACAATGGGTCAACGAAAGTATTCTTGATGGTTCCCGACGATCTCCATTGTACCGAAGCCCACCAAGTCTTGTTCAACCGCTGCCGATTTCCAAATCGAGCAGGAAGAGTTGACCAATGTGGCGCGATTGGGCCTTCTGTCTCAAGCGCTCCTTTTTGATGCTTGGAAGGAAGTCCCTTGCGGTCCAATCGAAATACCTACCTGGACCCCAAAAGTATGTAAAATAATAGCCTCTTATAGGTTTTGGGCCATGATTTTACCTACTTTTGGGGGTCTAGGTAGGTAGTGATTATATACTGACCCGAAGGGCGAACTTCTTGTCGTTCCCGCCTCGGCTGTTCTGGACCGAGGGCCGTGATACTGTTGATGATATAAATCCTGCATTACCCATAATAAGGAATATACCATTATTCCCATAGGATGGGATCCTGAAGGTAATGCAGGATTTATATCATCAACTGTAGTTCTGTTATATAGGTACCTGGGTACCTGCCTGAAAATCGCAGGCATGACGGTGGAGGTGGTGTCCAAGTGCTACCAGTCACTTTAGTCCTAAACATAAGCCTCAGCACCCTCCCATGCGTTGGGATTCCCCGGGCGCTGGCGATTCAGAGTTTTGGTGCGTCCGGGCTTATCGACCTTTCGGGGTGGACCCCTGATTGATAAATCTCCCTCCCTTCATAAGGACTATAAACGGGCTCCCGGCCCGTAGCAGCTTCAGTTGTTCACCTCAAGCCCTTCTTCCCTGAAGCTCTCAACCCAATCTCGAGACCCCAATGTGCCCTCAATCCCTCAACCCCCCAACCATTTTTCCATTAAAGACACGGAACCCATAAGCTTGGAACGTGGGATGGGGATGATTACAGTAGAAGCCCAAAGGTTGGAAACGAAACCCAATAGCCTCAATCCTTAAGAGTAGTGTATGGGTAATCCAAGCTCTATTTGGCCTTAATCCGGTTTCCAACTTTACGGGGTTTCCTATAGTGCCCTGATTCTCTATGTTGTACGTTTTTGGATACAGTTCAAAGCTTGGGCTTCCAGGCTAAAGGTACTGACCCCCAAGACACACGAGCCCCCAACTGCTAAAGCCTTGTTGTGTCCGGTGAGGGATAGCTTCTTTAGGGGTTGAACATATATACCCAGTAGCTGAGTGCATACACTTTACACTTTTTGGGATACTATTACCCACTACAAAACTAAAAGTGTACACTTTTTGGGGCTTCTGAACTCAGCAAGTAAGTATAGGGTTTACTCATCTGCCAGCGGAAGACAACGGTGCTGGCATACTGGACCCCACTGCTGGCCCAAAGGTACTGAAAGTGATCGTGGTGGATGGGCTCATCCAACACCCAACTTCCCAACTTCCCGAAGTCCTACACCAGGCAGACAAGATTGTCAGGAATGAAGCTTTCAGTGCCTGGGTTCTCAAGTGGACCAAGGCATACAAGCAGTCGAGCAAGCGCAGCGCAAGCATCAGTGCCTTCATGAAAAGAGCTAAACCACAGAATCGCTAAAGCAAGCTAGAAACCCTTATGTACTTGGGCATTTGTGTAACCACGTGTAACCGAACCTTGAACTATAAGACAGACTCGAAGGCCCTGAGCCCTAAGCCCAAACCCTCACCCCTGAACCCCAAACCCTAAACCCTGCAACCTAAACCCTAACCCCTAGATTCTAGATCGTGTACCGACATACCTGAAGATCCAAGGATGAGTGCCGTGGGACCTTCGACAGCCCCCAGGCGAGACACTCTCTTCGGGGAGTTGGACTTGAAAAAGGGGAACAGGTAGGTGAGGAGCTGGTAGGGTTTAGAGGGTTCTTATCGGACCCCATAACGGTGCCACGGTTCTAAACGGGGTCTGCGGCTTGTATAAGGTGTAGTTGTCGGGATGTAGGAGTTTTGGGTAAAGGATTTCAGAGTTGCACGGGGCTATCCGGTTGAACATCCAGAAGTTATGAAGGGTTAATGGCTTCAACTTCAGGGTTTAGGAGGTTCCTTGCCTTATGAATTAGGCCGAGCAGATGCCGCTTAATTGTCGAAGACAGCAAGATTTATAAAACCCAGTTCTTCAAGGGGTGTTATTGTCAGGATGACTATGCACTCTTTATGATAGGGGTACTTAGAAATAGTTTTTACTTTTTTGCTATTCTAATCCCTAAGAAACAGCTAGAGTTACTATTTTTGCTAGGGTTCTAAGTTCAGTCTAGAGGAGGGGAATTATGGGATTTTTGAGGCCTCGGATTGGCATAGGATCCCGGCTCAGTGCTTCCAGGGTTCAGGGTTTTAAGGTTTCAAGTTTCAGTTCTAGGAAGTACCTCAGGGGTACTTAGAACTAATTTTTAGTTTTTGGTTATTATAATCCCTAAGAAACAGC